CCTGTGAACTAAAACTAGTTTGGGCTGAGAAACAGCGACCAGTCCAAAGTCACTCAGTGAGCTTCCATGGCCAAGGGTGGAGTAGAACCTCAGTCCCCCATCTCCTAACTCAACATCTCAACCACTACACTACATTATACCGGCAATCAATCAATCAATCAATCTTAGTAGCTACTAATTGTAGATAAAATACAGTACATGCAGGTTTTGTTGTATATATTTTTGAACATCTGTGGCAAATTCTATAAACAAGGCAAAGAATAAGTTCAAACCATTAGCCTTTATTGTTTGCCTAACCCCTACTTTTAAGTTAAAAATACATGCTGTTTTTTCATCCATTAATTTGTTATGAGAAATGATGGTTTTTATTACCAAACATATTTTGGAAAATGGAAGATCAAACCATAAGCATTTTGAGAAACCATAAACTTTATCAGGTGGTCAAGAAATTGCTTGCTGGTTATTTAATACCACAGAGTACCACCAGATTGTCCTTTCTAAGGGGCAAAACTTAGAATTAAATTGCCCATGACAAATATCCACCCACATTAACCACTGGACCACACTGGCTTTCTTAGGCAAACTTCTATAAATCCTTACTTCCCACTGAGTTAGTTGTTCCAATTAATTGACCATGGATATATAGATCTATAGATATCCCATAAAACATTGGTGCTCAAAGTTTGGCAGCAGTCCAGAAAGAGATAAGTATCAGTTATTCACTGTGAAACTTGGTTAAATCAGAGTAGAGATAAGGCATTCAGCTACAGCAAACTAGTAATCATCTGGAACTAAGGATTTCAGTAGTCCTTCTGTAAGTTGTTCCACTTCTACAATTCCAAGAAAACTCTTGGAGCTTTGAAATGACCATGTATTATTCTCCAAGTTAGGAGTTCTGGAACTTTCTGCTGTGCTGATGGGAGTGTGGTAGTAAAGTTGTATCATCCTTCATTACCAAGAATTATGAGGAGGGTTGGAAGTGTAAAGAGCTTTTTTCTCATGCTGGATATTAGAAAACACTGCTGCTTGTCGGACCTTTTTATTTTATTTTATTACTGGGGTTTCTTTTAAGGCCATTTCTTCGGCATTTTATCTGGGTAAAGTTCCTGTAAGAAAAGAACCAAACTCAGAGAACCCCAAGGACTCCACATTCAACTCTGAGCTACACATATTCGCCTCTATTGGTAAAGTTCCTGTATTCAGGATGTCTTACTGTTGGTGTCTAATGGTAGAATTTTAGTAATAAGTGTAAAATGTTTGTCTAATCTGAAGTTACAGAAATCTGATGCTAAGGATGCCCAGATTAGTCAGTTTTACTTTCTCCCACATTCATTTTTCTAAAAATAATCTGATCTACTTTCCATCCTGCTTATGAAGAAATGATAGGCATTTTAGTAAATGCCTTTCAAAACATAAAAAGAAGAAATTTCTCACAAACACCCAATCTATGTACCACTGGAATCAACATTCACACAAAGCAAAAGGAGAGTCACCTTCTGACTCTCCAGACATGCTGCAATAATGGTTGTAATTTCGATAAACTGAAGTTCAAAGTAGACAAAATCAAGGTACGTTTGATGGGCAGTCATCCCTATAAATGTATGCTGTGGAGCAGGTTATATTCTCCCTAAAAGATTAGTTTCAAAGTTCAGAGGGCTTTGTAGGTCTGCCTTTCCAACTTTGATTGATTTGCTAATACGGACTTTCCCCTACTAGCAAGTTACAGTGTTATCTGGCCCATCCTTGAGTTGGCCAAAACTATATTGGCATGAAATGTGCTGTCCCATTGCCAGTCCCCTTCTTGCCTCTTTTTGAAGTCATTGCCCTTACCTGACTTCCCTCCAAAGAAATGGATTACAATGCCTAACATTTATATTCTTTGAGGATGTCCTTGGACATAGTCAGCATAAGAGGAAAACTACTACTTCAACTCCATTATAGCTAAGGACAGTTTGTCTCACTTATGGGCCATAAATGAAATGAAAGTAATACCACCTGAACACTGAAGGGGAAAAAAATCATGCCAGAGTATTCTGATAAGCTCTTGCCTGATTACTGCCATACACTTTGGACTGTATTGGCAGGTGACCCAGAAACTGCAGTTCATCCAAAGCAGAGCTATTAAACTATTCACGATGACTAGCTCACTTATTATGGCAGAATTTTATTCTCTTGTCCATTTCTGGCTTCAGTTGACTTTTAAAACTTTTTATTATTTGGGGCCATATTATTTGAAGAATCATATCATTGCTTCTGTGTGAGATCATCAGAAGTCCTTTTTTCAGTGCTCTTGTAAGTGGATATTTTAAGCCATATATCATGTAATTGTAAATGATACTCTTTGAAATTAACCAGATTTCCCATTATCTATTGCCTGATTTAAATTTGCTCTAGTCTCTCACCCATTATCTTAATGGTTTTACTGCAGTTTTATTTACTTGCATTTTTATTCATGTTATTATTTTAAATTGCTTTTACTATTTTCTGCATATCACCTAAAGAATAATCAGATTCTGGCTTCCTGATTATTATAATAAGTCAATAAGCTAGGAAAAAAATGTGACTTGTGGTCCTTCCAGACTCATGACTCCTGCTTCAAGCCTCAGGTAAAAGCCATAGCCTTACCTGGGCCAGGATGCCTTGACATCAGTGACAAATGCCTTCATCAGCACCCACTTAGACTATTACAATATGCTATATGTGGGGCTATCTTTGGCAAAGTTGCAGCTGGTACAAAATATGGTGGCTAAATCTTCCACTAATGTAGAATTAGACCTCTAATAAAATCACTGCATTGGTTGCCAGTAGGCTTCCAGGCCCAATTCAAAATGCTGTTCATTCCCTTTAAAGTCCTATATAGAGATGTACCAGGATAGATCAGGCTTGTGTCTTATCAGAATTGAATCTCCCTGCCCAGTCCAATCATCTAGAGAGGGGCAGCTGGAAATCCACCCAAAGTACCCAGGGACTGGGCATGATGGCAGGCCTTCTGTGTAGGAGCCCCCACTCTGTAGGATACCCACACCCAGAAGGACTTGCAACCCCCACCTTATTGCAATACCATAAGTAAGTTAAATCTGAATGATTTCAGCATGCCTTTGGCCCCAGCGGATTGATTGTGGATAACTATCTTGAGTTTTGGTTTGATATCTGATATTGATATTATTTTTATGTGTTGTTTTCATTCAGATGTCGTATGGAGTCCTTTGAGATTGTGGTGGATTATAAGTACCAAGGAGGGAGGGAGGGAGGGAGGGAGGGAAGATAATAGATATCAAATGGAAACATAGGCACACTACAACCCAACCTGGAGAGCCAGTTTGTTGTAGTGGTTAAGGCATCAGGCTAGAAACCGGGACAGCATGAGTTTAAGTCCCACTTTAGGCACCAAGCCAGCTGGTTGATCTTGGGCCAGTCACTCTCTCTAAGCCCTAGGAAGGACGCAATGGCAAACTGCCTCTGAAATCTTACCAAGAAAACTGCAGGGACTTGTCCAGGCAGTTGCCAGGAGTCAACACTGACTTGAAAGCACCAAAACAAACAAACAAACAAAGTGCAGTAGGTTTAAGGAGCAAAGGTGCAAAGCAAGTGTGTGCATGTCACATTTCTTGTACCATTCATGTATAAAGCAGAGTTGGGGGGTTGACTCTGACTTAAATGGAATGGATGAGGAAAGCACAAAACCACCTTCTTTCCAGCTTGATATCATGGATGGAATCAATGATGTTGATTTTTCCATGCCCAGTTTAAGAAATGTGGCTTGGAGAAAAACATCTGAAACTATGTTGTGCAGCAATGTGAACTACCCCCTTTTTAGATGGGAATAGGGAAGAATGTGATTAATTACTATTCATGTGATTCCTTTCCTGCAAGAGAAAAGATGGTCTGCACCTACTGGGCATCCTATCCCCATCCAGAACCAGCTCCTCCTTTTTTGTGAATGAGGCACGCTAGCAGTTATTAGGAAAAGGATAAAAAATAAAGCTGCCAATAGCATCATTTTTTTTTTTTTATCTGCACTCAGTCGTTACCGACTCTGCAGTGATTGCTTTTAGACGAGTCCTTTGCAGTTTTCAAGGCAAGATGCTTTCGGAAGTGGTTTGCCATTGCCTCCTTCCTAGAGCAGAGCCCAGCTGGTGAGCGCAGGAGGCAGGTTTTCCGTTGCTTCGCACCTTTTTCGGGCGAGCGCGGCTTCCGCACTACCGGCAACTGCTCCCGACTCCTTTTGCAAGGCGCTGCCAGCATTTTTCCTCCCACCGGAGTGAGGGTACCCATTTATCTTCTCACATACGTTTTCGAGCTGCTGGGTTGACAGGAGCTGGGGAGGAAGCAGGAGCTCACTCTGCTGTGCAGAGCTGGGCTCGAACCGCTGAAGTGTCGACCATTTCTGGCCAGCAACTTTCAGCGTCATTAAGCCACTGCGCCACCACGTCCCCCCAACAGCATCATGCCTTCATATAAATTATTAAGATAGAACCATACTTGGAATACTGTGTACTGTTCTTGTTGCCCCATCTCAAATGGGAA